CTCTCTCTCTCTCTCTCTCTCTCCCTCTCTCTCTTTCTCTCTCTCTCTCTCTCTCTCTTTCTCTTGCTCTTGCTCTCTCTCTCCCTGTGTCTCTCTCACTCTCACTCTCTCCCCACTAGTCTCTCCCAGTGTCCTTAAGTTCTAATTGATAAAGGGAAAAAGAAAACTTTCTGTTGAATAATTCCCCACTTTGACCTTACGTTATACTTATTGTGCTCCTTTCAGAACTGTTTCTTCTCGTGTCTACTGGAAATAAATCGAAATCCTTTATTGTAAAACAATAGCTTCAACGATCTTAGCAGTTAATTGATGAAAGAAATCGATACCCCTTATTCGTTAGCAATCAAACTCTGAGACATGAAATGTATGTTGTGTTTTCATTTTACGGCTTTTTGTCGTAAATATTTTGTAGAAACTGATTAGAACTGTTGGAAATAAAATATGTATGTGCGTGTATTGTTTTCCTTTTTTATTTATAGGCCTTCCCGTATTACAGTATTTGTATTGCTGAGAAGCCTTTGTGTTTATTTATTATTTATGTTGTCGTGGACACGTATTGGGTGACCAATGGAAGAAGGGGATAGGGGTGATATTCGGGTGTTCAGTGAGCATGTTGCGCGTTTTCTGTTATTAGTGTACGTAAGTGTGATGTGTAAGAATGTGGGATGGAGCCAGGTTTTTTTTTCCAGACTGCATTTTATTTCTAAATGTACATGCATTTCCGTATAGACTTTTGAATGTTCGTTTTTCATTTGCATTGATTTGGATAAAGTTAAATGTTGCAGTAGTGATACCAGCCGCACAGGACTTTCCTTTTTCGCTCAATACATTCTGCATTCATCTTCAAATAACTGACTTGACCAATTGATGGTTATGGGTCTTCTCGCTTGTTTCGTCACGTTTTACAGTGGTTCTATAAGTGTATGAGTGAATGTGTATGTGTTAGTCTCTCTGAGTACGTTTGTATGTGAGTATGTGTGTGCGGGTTTTTTGTGTGTATGTGTATAATATTAAGTATGTGTGTGTTTGAGAAAGAGTGAGAAAGAAAGACAGAGGAGGGGGTAGAGAGAGAGAGAGAGAGAGAGAGAGAGAGAGAAGGGGGGGTATGAGACAGATGGAGAGAGTGAAAGGGGAAAATAAACATAAGAAGAAAAAAAAAAGAGAGACAGTCAGACACTCTTAGTTGTTTATATAGAAAATTTATCTAAATGCCCACAGTTCCGATTCAGCAAAATCCGCCCCGGATTGGATGCCTCTACAACTTTAAAATAAGTGAAGTTTAAACGATTTTTTTCATGCGTGGAAGAGAGACATCATATCATTAGACAGAAGTAAAAAAAACCTCATAGAAAACGTATCTACAACTCCCAAGAAAGTGTTAAAACAAAGCATAGGCACGAATTAAATAGAAGTCAAACTAATTCAAGGAGACGGTACTCTGGTTGCAGGGAACGTCTGCCCTTTCTGTTCGAAATCCCGAAGCCTGCCAAGTGGAATCTCGACAAAACCAAGTCCTGCAGCCTTGAAAATTGCTTACAAAGCTTGAAGTCAGTGACCCACCCCCTCCCAATTTCCTTCCTCTCCCCATCTCCTCCCCCCTCTTCCCCCTTCCCCAACCTTTCATTTCCACTACCACCATCCACTCACCCACCCACCCCCTCGCCTCGCAGCGTTCCTGTACATAATGTAACCTTGGGTTTGATAATGCTTTACAAAACTGAGTGTCAACAAC